GGACTCCAGGACCATGACCTGAGCCGAAGGCAGTCGCTTAACCAACTGAGCCACCCAGGCGCCCAATACAACTTTTTTAAGAAAAAAAAAGTTTTTCCTTGATTTTGCTATGATTTTCTGTGATATGGACTATGCTTCAGTCACTGTAATGAACTTGAAGGTGGAGTTGTAGGGAATGAAAGGAGAGAAGAAACAGTAAAGAAAATGAGGCCCGATTCTGTTCCAGGCAGAAGGGCTGTTCAGGTGCACAGTCGTGGGCCCTCGGGCAGCCCCGTCTGCTCAGAGATTATACAGGACTTCATTCCTACCGTTGCAGTGCCTTTATATCTACTTCCTATTTAAAATTAGTTTGTTTTGATCTTTTACAGCTTCACAAAAATCTTGATTTTAATTGCTTTCACATTTAATTAAGAAAGCATACTCTGAGGAATCCATTTATCCAGTAGAGAATAGTATTTTTTCAGTGTTAAAAGGGAGGGACCTGATGCTTTGTCTATTTGCTGAGTGTTTTTATATAAATTACTGAATAGTCCCTTCTAACTCATTACTTTAAATGTTTCTTTTAAAAAGAAGTTTCTTTAAATAAAATATGTGAAATGAAGGGCTTCTTTTCTTATACAGACATGTTGGCAATTGGCACGCAACATCAGGAGCACTCTGCTTTATCTTATGGGTGTGATTTCATGTATTTTGTCTTGCCACTGCTTAATGCGGTGAAGAGATAAATCACACTTCATAATTAATGGAGTCGGCCCATCTGGACCAAGCCAGAGATAATCTGTAATAAGGCCGCTATTGATCCCCGTCTCCTTTGTGGCTCCTTTTATCACTTTACTGCCTCAGACATTAAAAGCTTCTTTTAATTGGAGGTATCAACCTTCCCAAAAAAGACCAGATAGATTATTATGCTTTAGGATAAGACTGAACTTAGGTGTGTGTGTGTGTGTGTGTGTAAGTATAATGAGAAATGGGAGCCTGCTCTTGGCATCATTTCAGTTCTCGCATAGATTTCATTTGAACCAAGGCCACCAGGGCAACTATTACAGTGCAGTAGTTTGGTGGGGTCTCTACTGTTCTACTTCTCTGTTTGGAGTCTTTCTTTTGCCTTTTAAAGGGGCAGAGCAAGATTGCTTATTTTTCAAACACTGAATTCTTTTTTATTTTAATATTTTTATTTCACTGAGTCTGATGGAAACTATGTATAAAACATATCTGAAACCTAAAGCTCCAGAAAACTTAGGGAACTTCTTTCTAAACCTGTGCTTTATGTAGAAGAACACTGCTACATTTTTGATAGTACAAGATCATTGAAGCACTGTGATCTTTTTTTTTTTTTTTTTTTTGCCTATCCAAGAGCAGGGAAATTACTTGTTCCCATCAAATCCCACATTGCATTTTGGATTTTGCTGTTACATTCCTTCAGAGTTTATTTTTGATATTCTCTTCTTGCTTGGAAGTATTTTATGTTTCTGCAATGGGTAAAGATAAGTTGTTTGCTAAGTTCTTCTTTCTGTCAAGGACACTTCCAGGAAATCAAAAAAAAAAAAAAAAAAGAAAGGACTGTATACATATTTAAAATGCTGTCCTTTCTCTGTAAATAAGACACACAGTTCTTTTGGTTAATCATGATGTGCACTGGTGGCTTTTCAAAGCTGGGAGGAAGTGTTTAGCTTCCTTATCCTAATTTATTCAGTAAACTTTTGTCTCCGTTTGACTTTGAGTAAGTACAAGTTCCCTGAGCAGAGGGGGCTGCGCTGCTGTGGTCAGCACCCAGGCTCAGCCCTCTACGATCTGTGCCTCTGGGCAGAGTCTGAGTGCGAACCCCACACTCAACTCAGACGGCAAAGAAAAATGCAGCCTTCCTCTCTCTCTCAGGTGGGTATTCCCCAATTTCTGTTCAGTTTGGTGAACTTGATCCATTGCATTGACTTATTTTATCCACTTTGGACTATAAATACTTGTCTCTTGAGGTAAACTGCTCAGCCTCTCAGACTTTCTCTCTTGCGCTCTGCCTCTCTACAAAGTGGCCACTGGTTACCTGGAGGGGAATGGTTGCAGAAAGCTTCTTCCTGTGTCCTTATAAAGAACATCACTCTAAAGCTTGCCATCCTCTCTTTTGCCCCCATTCACCTTGAGACTGGGCCATGCAGTGGAGGGAGTCCCTAGCTCTATTTACAATCACTCAGGACTGCAGGAGATGGACTTGTAACTTCTCCACTGCTTCTTCCCTCCTTCCATATGAGCGCGGCCAATACCTTCGGCCCAGCCTTGGGAGGTGGAAGGCCACTCTCCTCTGCCCTAGGGCATGAAGCTCTGTGATCTATGGGTTGATTTTTCATATGTTAAAATAATTCATAAAATTATTTCTCCTTGACAAATCCTGACTTTCAAGCCTGTTGTTTTGGTGGGAACCCAAATAAAAATCTAATTTGACCTTTAAAACTGAGAAGTGTCTGTTTTTTATAAGCGACCTGCCCTTCACCCAGGGCTCTGACACTAGCTGTTTGAATCTGTGGAAAGCCCCCAGGGCAAAATGTTTTCTAAAGTATGGCAATGCATGTGGGAAAAAGTACCCTCTTCCCATAGCACCTGTGTTCCTGCTGCAGCCCCCCTTGGATGTCAGCATTCCCTTCCCACTGCAGCACATCTCCTGGATTGCTGGAAAGATAGACTTCCTGAAATCCCAGCTAGAGAAAGCCCCAGGTGTTTCAGAAAGGAGCCAGAGGGTAGAGTTAGAAGTATGATGAGACAACTTTCAGATCCCCATCAGCTAAGGGGATTCTATTATGATCATGAAGAGAAATAGAGCCAGATTGTTCTCTGTGACCTTCACTATTGTTAGGTGAGTAACATTCTTCTTAGAGCATCTTGGAACAGTGGCATCTGTTTGGTGTGTTTGGATGGATGAAGAAGTTATGTTAAGCCTAATAATTGCCAAGCAAGAAAAAGGGGAGAAAAATAACTTTAAGGACAAGTACTTCATGCCTATATTCCTCTAGCAATTGAAGTTTTCCAGATTCAAAACTTTTGATTTGCTACTATTAATACTATACAGCTCTTTCAAAAAAAAAAAAAAAGTTTGGGATGTCTGGGTGGCTCAGTCAGTTAAGCGTCTGCCTTCGGCTCAGGTCATGATCCCAGGGTCCTGGGATCGAGCCCCGAATCAGCCTCCTTGCTCAGTGGGGAGCCTGCTTCTCCCTCTGCCTGCTGCTCCCCCTGCTTGTTCTCTCTCTGTCTCTCTCCCTCTCTCTGACAAATAAATAAATAAAATCTAAAAAAGAAAAACAAATTAAGAAAAAAGTTTTTTCAACATCCAGAATCTGTCTGACATCTTAAAGTTTGGAATTATTTTTGTCACGTCCACAGAACGGTATCATCTCTACATCTAGTTTTGTAGGTATGAGTGTCCTCTTTGTGGAAATCCTTTTCAAACAGAAAAGTGATAATCAAAGAAACAAAGAACCTAATTGGATTTCAGTGCATGGTAATTTATTTGTATGTCTTTATGCAGCTTGTGAGTTCCAGATCCTTTTAGATTCACGGAAATGAAGATTAGCTGACTTAGAACATGCACTTCATAGCTCATTGATGCATTCAGCCTGCTTCTTCCCTTGTGCTTGGGAGCCCTCTGGTCCTCTCACCTTGGACCCAGAAGATGTCTGTGTCTCCCTCTAACCTTTGCTGTTGGCACAGAGGTGGCTTTGCCAGCTACTTTGGAAGAGAAATCAATGTGTTCATCTTCGCCTCTGTCAGGTTGCCGAGACCTGAGCTGGAAACCCTGGAGCTCCCCAAGTGTGGGCTCCACTTTGAAACCCCAAGCACTACCTGGGCCACACCCCATTGGAGGACCCAGGAAATGCATTCTCACTGTTTAGCTTAATTAGTTTTCCTAACAGAGACAATTTCTGACCAGGTGGGGAGTTGGGGATGTGAAGCCTGCGGTGGTTCTTCATTTCACCTGGAGAAGTGGCTGCCTTTGCCATCTGAGCCCACAGTTCGCCCTCACGTCTGGCTGCATTTGGGGTTCAGAATGTTCTCCAGCCAGTTAAATGGAAATCGTTTGCCTGAGTGATTATTTTACCAGTGCTGGCCTCACAGTGCTGGTAGCTACAATTAACAAGAATCACACGTATGAATTTCTTTTCAAAGTAGTTTTTTGTCAAAGATTCATCAAAAGGATGAACTGTTTAATATTTCATGGTGTCCCATTGTTGTCCATACTCAGGTTAGAGTTTAGAAAACAAGTAAGTTACCTTGATAATATAATTTTATTGTTGCACTTTTGATGTTTTTAATATCATGCCCTGACTTTCTACATGTGAAATCCATTCACAGATTAATTTGATTTATTACCGCCCATTTTCGTGTAGTTTAGAACAGCATATGCTTTTCCATTTAGGAATTCATCACTGTTGCAAGTGTAATTTGGAGTTGAATTTAAAAAGATTGAAATTACATCAGATATTGTATGAAATTGTTAGTGGTGATATATAGATTTGTTTGTAAATGCAATGATGAGTGCCTCTGTGTTTGTGGACACATACTCTTTGGATGAGCAATCATAGTTTAGAAGCTAACTCTCTAAGAAATGGGATAATTTGAATGGAACCAACTCCATGAAAATGAAGCTATTGAGATAACCAGCTTATATGAAAAATCATGTATTTCAGGATCGGTTTTGAGAAAATGTGATTGTAGACGCTTGCTTGAACCACCTTCTGGCATCTTTTCTTGGGCAGTAGGGTATACTCATTTCTGACCTTTTTTATTTTTAATCTGTTAAGTCCCTAGTTATGAACTGGAAACAAATTTTAAAGGTGTTTTTCCATAGCCTTTTGAATAATGAGGCGGTGATTTTTCTCCACAGCTAGATGTGTTCCTATAAATAACATTTGGCGCTACACAAGCTTTGAAACCTACATCTTGTTGATATGTTACACTTGACCTCATCCTCACAAGAGGAATAGAATCCTGCCCTGCCTGTGGATTCATCCCTTCCTGATTTGGCATGGGTTGGAGTGCTCACCCTCAGCCTCACCAAACTGCGCCAGTCTGCAGGGGGCCGGGCGGTGACTGCCCTCTGCACACTGACTTCTCTCTCAGTGGGGACCGCAGGAACTGTCACTCCTTCCTCTATTTTAACAGCTTCTGTTTTTCATTCTGCTCACTTCTATTGCCCCAGATTGCTGTGACATGATTAACGCCACTCAGCCCACAGAAATAACCACCTTTAATACCAGAAATCTGATCTTACTTCCACATGAATTTATCAGGAATAAAAATAGCACTTAATAATGGCTTTAAGGTTTTTCTAACTTAATTAGGGTATTTTAAATTCTGAACCATAAGAAAACTCTCACATTAAACTCAGTGGGTGGACAATGTGATGTGTTCAGAGTTAAGTTTAACTCTACAAGCTTAATTACCAATTAGCTTAAAAATAACATGTTAGGTAGTTTAAGATATTTATTTCCCTACTACATTCCATATTAGTCAAATCTTTAGGGCTAACCGGTTTAGATTTTTATATGGAGATTTTACATAGGAGATCTTTTATCAACTTATAGAAGTCTTTAATTCTGGTATTTTCTTTGAAATGAGTGTTGATCATTCTAGCTTTCTTTATAATCATTACACTCCTATGCTAGAGGGTGGTCATATGGAGTCACACCATCATTTATGTCATCATATGGGCACAAAATAATTTTAGGTTTTTTTGAAGATTTTATTTATTTGAGAGAGAGAGAGAGAACAAGAGAGTGCAGGAGCGGGGTGAGGGGCAGAGGAAGAAGCAGACTCCTGCTGAGCCGGGAGCCAGCTGTGATGTGGGGCTCTTTCCCTGGGACTCGGGACTGCGGGGAGCCAAAGGCAGATGTTTAACCGACTGAGCCACCCAGACACCCCAATAATTTTAAATCACTTATCTGGTGCCAAAAGCAAGCAAGCAAACAAACAAACACCCCCCCCCAGCCCTATCTTTGTAAATAGAAATGGCTGAGTATTTAGCTAAATGGAAGTGGGATGGTACTTAACTAATTTTTAGTTGATTTCCTAAAATGGGGCCCTATTTTTGTGGTGAGTCTATGGAAGTCTTTGACCAATGTTAGGATTCTCCATAACCAAATGTTTCTTTTGCCTACATATATCATAATATACGTTTACCCTTTGGAACTACTAGCTGCACTCGATTTTTCATGGTCTTTTCTAAAATGTGCATGTAGCATCTCAAGCTATGTTCCCTTGAATACATTTAATTCAGTATCACCAAATGACGCATCTTGTACCATGTTAGGGCAGGGGCTGGGAAACTGGCCTATGGGCCAATCTGGCACCACCTGCTTTTGTATGGTCTACAAGCTTAAGAATGATTCTTCCATGCCAAATGATAGAAAACTAATATTGTATGACTTGCAAAAACCATGTCAAATTCACATCTCAGTGTCCATAAACAAAGTTGTATTAGAGCACAGCTACATCCATCACATGCTCTGTGACTGTTTTTGTACCGATAGCAGCACTGAGTTGTCGAGACAGAAACTGAGCCTAAGCCTAAAAGCCTAAAATGCCTCCAGTCTGCTCCTTTGCGGAAAGAATTGGCCAACCCCTCACAAAGAGGATCAGGATAAAAAGTCCCTAGGCTATTTTAATGCACTGGTTCCCATATTCACTTTCCACCAGTTTAAATTATAATTTTAAAGGCTTTTCTTTCTTTTTTTTTTTTTAATAATTTAGTCAGTGCATTTTGAATTTTGATCCATAAGAACAGCATTCTGCTTGTTACCTTGGTAGGAGGGGCGTGCTGCTAGAGCTTGAGTGCTCCTGTCCTGGACAAGCCGTGAGCCCCTAAAGCGGTAATACTGACTGTTAACATTTGT